AATATTGCTGGCATCTATTGGGACCACCGGGTAAGTAATAGTGACACAGGTTAGACGCTGGGTATTAGGGAATGATGGTAAATCAGTTGATGAGGTTGTAAACCTTCATCGATTGAGATAGTTGAGCCACGTGTTACATATTCCTGAACACCGATTACCATGACGCACAATGCCGACTAGTGCTGCAGACGTATGGAAGGAAGTTAAGGGCAGCCAAACCAAACCGTGGCATCAGTGCTTGAAATCACTAACTTCTAGTCTGAGCCATTTGGCGGTAGATGTAGACTACTCGGTTGGGATCCGCGTGACTATCGTACCCAGTGGTTGGATACTCTGGATGACATGGGTCACAATCGTGTCGGTGTATACACTTTCTGTCTTCCCTTAAACTGTGAGATTATAATTGCTTTATTTCTTCCTGTACTATATCCTTATACACAATCTTTCTTTTATATATTACCACCATTGATTTAACTACTTCTATGAAACTGGTGTTCATCTTGGCAACTTGGACCGATGCATATATGTGCGTGGTCCTGCGTTGTAGTTGACTGACTGACTGAAGCAGGTATGTATTACCAGTTTTCACACATAAAATAATGTGAACAAACTCTTTAGCTAAAGGTTCACGTAATACTGGTAATTACTGAAATTAACTCCTCACTCAATTTGCTTTACACATCATTAATTTTTCTTCGCATTATTCTGGTTTATGGTGCATATTTGTGCCATGTTCTAATTAGACGATAATGATGATAAATGGAAGTTCATACCTTTATGTAAAAATTTACATTCAAGACTCATGAATCCAAAATTTATTTACTCTCCCCCCACAGAAACATAGTTGAAACAAATATATACTAATTCTTGCATGGAGGTTTGTAGAGATCCTACTTACACTTCTATCGAAAAACACAAGTTACTGAATAGACGCTTTGTCCTAATACGGGAATGCTCAATATTGTGAATTCATGACTCCATTAAGGATTGGACTCGATACATTTAAATTTTGTGATGAAGGATCAGTTTTCCGATATTTCAACCGGCATCCAGTAATTTAGATGTTTAACTTAATGGGTTGTGGATTTCATACATTACATCACGAATACCTACACTAATTAATAATCATGTGTGTATAGTGAGAGGTTTTAGTAATAGACCATGATTAGTGGAATTCAACCAAGTTGGGTATGAAGTAGTTGTTCACTGAAGACAGTGGAAGATGGTTATGTCATATTGTCTATTAATTGAAACCATTGGATGCTAGCTCAGTGATCTGAATATTAAGCGTTTATTGCAAGACTCTAATGTCTTGAATACGATTTGTGGTATGATCGCCGATACACATTGTTGAGGAGAAACACATGATAAGAAAAAAGGCTCCCCAATGCTTCCAGGTTATTTAAATAGTTGGCTTGTCGGTTCGCGAACTCAACAAGATGAAAAGTCTTCGTTCGATAAGTTTTTTTTTATATTCAGCGTGGATAACACGGATAACATCAGATAAACGTTACGCGAAGTGATAGTATAAACATATACAGATATATCATGGTTTTTAAAAAAAATGTTACAAAATTTGTTATAGATTGCTATTTTATTTCACATAGGCATAGTGTACTATTAAAAAACTGGTCGATTAAATTAAAAAAAATTCCGGGTCGTATATAATTGTTCGAATTACGAATGATGTGCATCATATGCGCTAGCGTAAGGCAATGGTTAAACATACACACACAAACAAACAAATAAAGATGGTGTGATTAGGACAGTTGTGAAATGGTGTAAAATATAGTTGTCGTTATTATTCTTGTATGCGATTCACCTTGTAACTCAATATTGAATAAAACGAATATGATTAATGGTTTGATAAATTGGTACACACTAGTTAAAATGTTGATAACTGCTTAGTAGTATGTATTATTATGTGAAGGGTTATAACTACTACTAGTTGTAGTGGTAGTAGTAGTAGTAGTAGTATTGGTACTATAACTACAACCATTAAAAATCAACTACATGATAAAAAAAATCATATGACTGCGTGTGAAAAAAAATAAAGCTAAACAGGAAAACAGTCAACTATATACAAACATCCGCTAACTTGAATTGGCATACATTATTTGGTATAACATGATAAATAGTAAAGGAATAGAAATAATATAACGAGGACCAAACATCAAGAATTTGGTTTGAAAACAGAATGAAGTCATATAAGAAGGACCACTAGGATTAAACATCTAGATGAAGATAAAAAATAATGTACTTGCGTCATTACAGCTAGTTACAAACGACATGTTACTCAAGTTCCCCAACCACTCACTGGTCACGATTATTGTTTCAACCACAACCAAGTCAGTCAGTCAACTACGATGTAGGACTAGACACATATATGCATTGGTACAAGATGCTACACCTCATTAGCGCAACAAGATGAACACCGGATTCATAGAAGTAGTTAAATCAATGGTGGTAATATATAAAAGAAAGATTGTGTATAAGGATATGGTACAGGAAGAAATAAAGCAATTATAATCTCACAGTTTAAGGGAAGACAGAAAGTGTATACACCGACACGATTGTGACCCATGTCATCCAGAGTATCCAACCACTGGGTACGATAGTCACGCGGATCCCAACCGAGTAGTCTACATCTACCGCCAAATGGCTCAGACTAGAAGTTAGTGATTTCAAGCACTGATGCCACGGTTTGGTTTGGCTGCCCTTAACTTCCTTCCATACGTCTGCAGCACTAGTCGGCATTGTGCGTCATGGTAATCGGTGTTCAGGAATATGTAACACGTGGCTCAACTATCTCAATCGATGAAGGTTTACAACCTCATCAACTGATTTACCATCATTCCCTAATACCCAGCGTCTAACCTGTGTCACTATTACTTACCCGGTGGTCCCAATAGATGCCAGCAATATTTCTAAGGCATCTGTGGTCAAATACTAATAAATCATGGATATCTTCTACTCTTACTGGCCACGTTTCGAAGCTGTAAAGTGGAACAGAACGAATTGCCGCTCAGTATACTCGTTCCTTAATTGATAGACGGATATCCTACCTTCGACATAGGTGACGTAAGTTGGCAAAAGCCAAACGAGCATTTTGAATCCGTGCTGAGATTTCGTCAGATACCAACCCATTAATACTGACCAGACTACTTCACTCCCTATCCTGAGTTCATATGTTGACGCAGACCAGTCGTGAATTAACAATTTGTATTTAGAGGTATAGAAACACATCCCAAACATTCTGACATTGTTGCTTAGTGCTACCATAAGACTGCATTTTATCGGTGTCTTCACCGAACAGGAGTTTGTCATCTGCGTATTCTAAATCGATAAGTGGACATCTTGAAAGGAGATCAATGCCCGAGAATTCAGTCGGGTATACATGTTTTTTTAAACTGTGATAAAAAATAATTAATTAATTAACGCATTCACAATTCACTTGAGTACGAACCTTACTCTAAATGTGAAAGCGAGTATTATTACGCGGTTGTCCAAACCGAAGTAGATGGAGCGAGGTTCGAAACTGGTCCTTAATAACTGGAGGTTGAACACCCTAACCACTACCACACCCCTCCTCTAATCTGAGGCAGATACAGTTGATTAATGAATGCATAGTATTGTAGCCATTAAACCATCACTCTACTCCCGCCATAATGAAGTGTGGATGATGCTGCAGTGGGCTGAAAGAAAACTGAAGACGGAGAACCCAAAATGAAGTATCAGCCCATGAAGACATTGACTGCTGGACTGATGCTGGGTACAGATTACCTGGTTATGGTTCTCAGGATTATCTTAACAAATGTTTGATGACGTTGGTTTACATGGTTCTATATAGATTACAATGGCTTAAATACGTTCTCTCTTTTTCTTCACTTAAACCTTTAGTTTTAGAATTATCCTATACTTATTCTACGTATTTATTCTTCATTCTTGGATCATAATAATACTTTCTACCATCACCGACGCTGTGACTACCTCTACTTCTCTTGATAATTTTGTTTCATTGAGTTGGTATGGATAGTAAGGCAGCATAAACCAATTCACATGCCAGATTCTGCCTTGAATGACTGATTGATTTATTTCACGTTTATTCTACATATTCTTTAGTTCCACTTATCTTCAATCCATTATTTTATGTATTAAAAAAGCATATTACGGTCAGCGTTCACTGAATTTTTCAATATTCAATAAATGTGTTGTATTCAGCGGTTTCAGTCCTTTTTTTTCGTTCATTGAATGAATAATTAACCACATTAAATTGCGATTTCCATCAGAGATTTCATTTGGAGCTATCCACAACTATATGCTATTAACATTTTCAATGTAGTTCAGCCAATATTCCGGGTGAATAATACATTATAGTGAATTTTTTTGAAGTGAAGCTTACCCTCTAATGTACACAACAACCATTCACTACATAGTCAAGCAAATGGCCGAAAGCGCTTGGTTATTAAACATAAAAAACACTATGGATGACCTCAGCTGCCTACGTTATACTTTAAGTTTTTTTTACTATGTAGAACACACACATGTATCTAATTGAAATTGATAAAACTAATGTTCGATGAGCAGTATATTTGTAGTTATATATATATGTGTATAAGTATCATGTGATTTATCTTAGGCCACGGTCGCTATTAACCAACCTACAAACTTTTTTCTCTAGATAAAATATTTTGGTACATTTCGTATTTATTTATTGTGTTTAAACAAGTTCAGAATTTTTCATATAATAGATGGATTGTAACTGACAGAGGAATCTAAGACTCCCGTTTCATCCTATTTGAAACTTTGCCGTTAAATTGTACCTGCCATATCTCAATGTATTGATATTCGCCTTAAAACGGTCAATGCATTAACCAGCAACTTGTTCGCTGGATATAGTACTAGCTAGGATGATTCAAGCTATTTTCTAATAATGATATACACTTCAAGACTGTTAGTTTTTATTCTGTTCATGTTTATTTTTTAAAATTATTTTTTAGGTAACAATAGTCCAATTGAAATTATGAATTTATTAAATAAAACGTCGCATAATGTTAGTGATTTCAGTACAGTATCTAATCCTGATCAATCAGTTATGTCTAACAATAATAATAATAATAACAATCCTCTTACCTCATTTATATGTTCATGTTCACCATTATGTAATACTGGGACTAATAATAATAGTAATAATACATTCCCAATGTCTTCATCGTCTCGTTTAGTTGATGATGTGAATGTATTATCTTCATCGTCTTCTTCCTCATTGATGATTGGTCATGATATAATTGAAAATATGTCTGAAACGAATTATTTTCTTGATGATAATATACAAGTAGCTAAAGTTGCAGCTGGTCTAATTATTTCTAAAAAACCACCTTACTATCATCACCATCAACAACAACACTTCAGTGGAAGTGGTTATCCTACACGAATTTCCGGATTAACACCAGCTAGTACAATTTTTTCTGGCGTTTCTAATATGACAAATACTACTACTAGTACTATTTGTGGTGTTGTTACAACTGGTAACAGTAAACAACCGCTACCATCAACAGTTCCTTCATTTCGTGTTTCCTCTACAACTTCAACTCGTCATCATCCACATACTCATCATCATCGTTTTATTTTCGATGGTCCTAATTCTAGTGGTAATCAATCATCGAGTGGATGTTCTACAACTGCAGTTCTTCCATCAGTTCCTATTCCATCTATTGGAACTGATTCTGGTATCAATATTCATAATTTTATGCATAGTTCATTATCATCATCTCCCAGTGAATATAATCGTACACAACTTTACCCTGAATCTTTATTACCTAAACAAAGACAAGATTCACAACAATATCATAACAGTTTATTGAATTTTATTTCATCTTGTCAAATCTCTGATTCACTGAATACATCCACTTCAGACTTAAATTTTTCTACTACTACTACTACTACCTCGTCTTCAGTGGAATCTACTTTAGATCAAGTTGATAATAATAAGAATATTTGTAATACTGATAAGACTATTACTAATACCACTACTATTACTACTGGTAGTAGTAGTACTACCACTACAACTTGTGTTACAAGTATCCGCAACTCTCCTAATCATGAAATATTTACAGCAGATGAAGACTACTGGGATTTACGTGATAGTAGTAATTGTCAGCATAAATTGATTCAGTCTTCAAAAGCGGATTCAACTGTGGTTGGTGTTACAGATGCATCAAATACATCTGATAATCTCTGTGTTATGAGTAAGTTTAGATTTTAAACATGTGATCTTGTTAATCTGGTTTCATTGAGATTTAACTTTTGACAATTTCGGATCATATCAAGCCAAGATTTGATATAAGTCAAAAAATCTTAACGTGCATTGAAATTATGAAGCGATCTAAATTAAACCATCATTGAAAACCTGGAGGCACTGGTCTGACGTTTCGTTCTAGTATGATACACCTCAGCAGTGCGTATCCACAACCCCTGGCGCGAGAGTCAAACCCAGGACTGATTGAAGTTATATATTAACACCGTTGAATACCGATTTAGTGATCTAGAGTTTAAGCGTCCGTACGCGAGTTCACAGTTCCTGAGTTCAATTGCTATGTGCGTGGTCGTGTATGTGTACTCTTGATTAGTCCCATACGAGAGGATAACACGGTCGTCCAGTGCTTCCAGGTTTCAACTGGTGGTCTAACATTGATCGGTTCATAATTTCAATGAAATTCTATAATCTCCACAACCCGCAAGTACAAACTGTCTGTTTGAGAGTCTATGGAATTTATCTTCGTAACCAATAATTGCAGACGTTGGACGACATAGTTTAGAATTGGTCAGAATGCCCCAAATCTATTCACTCATCATCTTTCCTTTGATCTTGAGTTTCAAAGTCATCCTACACTTTATTATTCTTCGGGGTCATTCTCAGTTCTCAAATCATATTGTGCATATATAATCTTTTCTACTGTTACTATTTCACAAATTCCATTAACTCTGATATTTATCTTTACAATTTCATCTTTATCCACTATTGTAAGATGTGACATCTTGACATGGTTCAAAGTCGTTTGCAATGGCGCAGGTGCATCCACTCTTTGTGTTCTCCCGAATTCTAGTCTTCTGAATTATTCATGTCCTTTTTTTCTCTTTCCAAATATATTTTATTGGATTATACTCCTTTAATAACATCTTCAAATCCTAATCTTTCTGATTACTGCTTATACTCTTACTACCTCTACCACTACGGGATTTGAATCGACAATTGTGTCTGTGTGCTAATTTGGTGTAGCAATTCGAACTGATGTACGTACGTACGAAGTTCTACGTTGTTACTCACTGACTGACATCTTGAACCGATACGTATATGTCCCAGGCTCAATGTTACTTATGACTCGCAGACTTGAACAAAATAACGTTGTTAACAGTATACATTATATCATTCTAAAAAGAACATTCTTTTTATGCTCTTATTTTTCTTCGCTTTTGACTATTTTTTCTAGCTGGTACAATTCCATCTGATTCTGTTGAACTGCATACATGTACAGACTCATCATGTAATCCATGTGAACTTAATCAGTTTACCAATACATCATTTGTTTATCCTCACTTCAATATGTCATCAATTGAACCTGGTCAATGTATTTACCGACATCGATTACAGCAATATCGAGTTTGTAATTGTATATCATTACTTCGACGATCATTTTCTGCGAATTCTAACATTCAATTCATTGATTTATCAAATAATGATCTTCAAATTGTTAATTTTCGTCCATCTTTCACATTAAGAACAATGTGTTCATTAGACAGTTCTGTTGTTTCTCGTACAAAAACTATAAATGATAATGGTTTGGTCGAGAACATTACTGCTGCTACTGATCACAATTCAAAACTTTGTAGGACTTTGCGATCATTTAGTACTAATCCGCATATTTCTATAACTTCCCCACTATGTAAATCTTTTTGTGGAGGTCGTTTTCAAAAAATTCACAGGTAATATTGTTGTTATTTTCACCAATTTTTCAAATACGTGCCTAGTTTTTTCTTATGTTTTAAGGATTCATTGTTGATAAGTAATCTTAAGCTAAAATTAGTCTACCAGAGAATTTTTTCATCAAGTTAAGTGGTTGTCAGATAAGTATTACACGTGCGCCCAATCAATCAAACGCTGCTTATTTCGACACCGTGATAGCCTATGTAAGAGATGTAGGTTATAAGAAACCTACTTGGTTGCAGTGAATCCTCAGAATTATCGTAACTAATGGTCGGAGAATTTGTGTGACATGGCTCAGAATCGTTCGCAATGATACAATGAAATGGAATCGTTGTCTTCCCTCAGATCATTACTTACGCCTATTACCTCCCGTGGAGCATACGTCCCTGTCCAAGATTCTCCAACTCTCGTCCCAGAGAATTCCTCGTCATGCATTATTTGCCGACGCTGGTATTGGTTGAAAAAAGCGGAGAGGTGGTCAATGTATGACATGGTGTCGTGGTATGATAGAAAGCTGCAAAAAGCCGGCTTCTGTTGGTCCTTCTCGACCCTCTGGCTGGGGTCCTAGAGATGGTGCAACACAGTGGCTAGGGACGTTATCAGATATGGCTCAGAATAGAAGCCAGTGGGGATCCTGCTGTAACCTTTTTTTACTTTCTTCATAAAAAGTGGTTGTAACTTCCTTAACTGAAAGGATTCTTTCTGGTTGTACCTTTCCACTTCCCCCATTATTATTACTATTATCATTACACTACTACACACTAATCTGTGGTCGTTATCGTTCTCTTTTTCCTTTCTTCTTTCCTATACGCATCTTATACTATTTTTCTCCTCCCATTCTCATTGTTGTTGTGTGGCGCATATATATATGGTACCCCCTTGTACCAATATTTATGTGTTCAAAATAAAATATCTCTCTTGAGCTCCTTTCCAGTTGTTTTTAAGCGCTGTTAATTTATTTTGACGTTTGCATCTTATTCCCGGTGCCACTTTTCCTTTTACCTCGAGGATCTCTAGCCGGGGCTTACTTTGTGCTTCAGTCTGATGGTTCCCGTAAACTGTGTCCTTTCCATCTTCAGCCTTTTTCTCCTAATTTCCTCTTCAACTGAAAGCTAATTTGTTCTTGCTGATAATGTCTGGCCAACGCATCTGGATTATCTTTAATAGACAACTGTTTATCAAATACCTGTACCTTTTTGTTGATAGCTTCAATAGTTATCAATGTTTTGGCTCTGCACAATATTATCGTCTTTCTGTTTCTATTGAAGATTCGGACCTTGGTGTTGACAGACAATTGCTTTTTATCGCAAATTTTCTTCAGTTATTTTTATTCCACCAACTTTCTTTTAGAATTATATCTTCTACACTGAATGTTTTCTACTATTATATATATATATGGGGAGAGTCCACTCTCCCTCTCGAAGTGCTCTCACATGGCCACGCGTATATAGCCTCTGCCAGGGAAGTCCTGCTCCCTGCCTTCTCGTGGCGGGGGTGTTGTTTACGAAAATGAGAGGACGAAAAGCGAATGTCTGGCGCTTTAACCGGATTCCAAACCAATGGTGCACATGGGCTCCAGTATCCTGCGGGAACAAATGGCGTATGAACCAATTGTTGGTCACCGGCTTCCATGGGACTGCATCTCCTTACGATGCTCCACTGCCTCGTGGGTTAGACCTTTAGGTCAAAGGCTCGGGGTGTGGCCCCCTAAGAAAACCACCTGCTTCAGTTTGGGCACCCGAGCAGTATCACAGCCCTCACATATATCAAATGAGATTTGTGTGGCGCATATGTATTTGGTGCCTCCTTGTACCAATATCTATGTGTTAAAATAAATAATTAATATATACCAGGTCCCACATTCCTCATAACTGACCAATTTACCTCTTCCAATGCGATACTTCGTCATAAAATGCTACTCTGTATTGACTGATTAATCAGTTGTCGATCTTTAAACATATTGTGTTAGTTAATATTATATCGTACAAATCAACTTGTCTATTTACTTAGTTCTATTTTTCCCGTTACAGTTTATGATTAGTTATAAACTGAAATGATGGTGATTATCTTTTTTTAAAATTTGCTATTCTTATAATAAGGCGAATAGTGAGCAAAGTTAAACTTTCAGAACTTTTCTACCGGAACTCATTATTTATATTTTGTTGTTATATAATTAATTAATACTTGAACTACTGTGCTTGTTTACGCCTACTTGTAAGCTTTTTCATAGTGTGTAAACTATTATTCTCTGTTTTACATCCCTCAATTTATTGTTAATTGATGATGAAATTATTATCTAGTTCTCTTTCATTTATTGTGTAGTTATACCTAAATTGTTATTCCTTATTTTTGTATGCGTTCTGTAAATCAATGTTTACTTATCAAGCTAGTTTGTGTTAGATTTTGAACTTATCAATAGAGGTGTCTTTACCTGCTGTGGTTTTTGTTCTACTTTGGCTATTGAGCAAGCGGGCGCATGAAAACACTATCCTAAAAATGTGCTTTAAGATTTGCCTCGGCCTCAATCCAAACTTTATCTTATCAGTAGAATCGTACCATTAGTCAGAGCTTAGAATTTTAGGGTATGGATGAAATAGTACATGTGAGGTATAATAAATTGGCTCATTCATTAGGCAGTCATGTATTAGTTGCACTCTAGGTGTAAGGGCTGATGATACTACAAGGTTTCTCAAACCGAAATAGGCAGAGAGGTATTCTAACCTGAACCCCTTAGTCACTAAGCTATCACTATACTCAGAGTAGAAAAACATTCGAATTCTTATCGATGAATCTTATCAATTGATATAGACTAGTGTAATGCTCATTCACTACAGTTCTATTAAATTGGAAACCAGAAAATGTTGAAATCACTCGAAGTTTCTCGGTACTATGGTAGATAAATGAAATTCTCGTAGAACAGTTAACACAGTTATGTGTACTGCTTATTAATCTTTTTTTATCGCTCTTTATAAATCAAGTGATAACATAATTTTTAACCAATTTACACTACTCAATGTAATTTGTATCTTTGAGTCAGTTCGCTCAAAAATACTGTCTGACTTTTTTCATAAAGGCATAAAATATTTTGATTGAGATTTTTATGCATGCAATGACATAAACTCTACTTTATTATTCACAACTATTTCTTCATGGAAAGCGAAATAAAACATTAACAAATAACAATTTAAGTAATCCTATTAAAATTCTTCTTAGGTAAGTTTCTAGAATGTTCTAATTATGATTGATCGATTGACCTATTGGCCACTTATAATAACAATAGGATAGTAGGTTAATAGTTCGGCTTTCATTCATTAGCTTCGCAGATGAAGGTCCCAGACATCTGAATCAAAGTAAGTATAATACTTTGGTTTGAGTAACTGGGTAGGTCACTAGCCTTTGCACATAAAGGATGACTCAAAGCTGGTTAAATTAATGTGCACTTGGTAAATCATTTAATTTTGGTTAGTTGAAGAGGTTTTGTGGAGATTGGTTTCATGTATACGTTGCATACTCCACAAATTGGCCTCAGTTGAGATACCGTTTTTTATGTTCTCTGTGATTACGGCTAATATGGCATACGACTTCGGCACTCAAACCCACATAACCCAGTGTTGAAAATCAAAAAAATGGGAAAAAGCAGCAGAAGCGTTTTTTAAGTGTCAAAATGTACTTAGAAATAGGTATATTTATATTTTTTGATATAGGCTTTAACATCATTATAATCCAGCCAATCCTCAAGTAGGAAGTTTATGCAATCGTTCAATCACAGCATACTACGTTGATATTCTTGAAGGCTCTAGGGGATTCTAATTAGATGGAATTGCTTCTTTAGAGCCTTTGGTGGTTTCGTCACGCTTTGTGGGAGCCGTTCTAATGCCGTTAAAATATAGAAGGCTCCGGATGGCCGTTCCGTGCTAGATGGTACTTCCCAGCAGTATCCCTCCCTCGACTCCTCCGGGGCCCAACCCAGGACCTTCGGGTCTCACAGCGAAGTTTAATTGTTAGAACCACTGTAGCTCAGTCCAACAGTTCATATTTTCAACTTCAACTAATTTGTGATGTTACGTGACAGCTTTAACTGCCGATATTTATGAACTCCACCAATCACGATCTTTCAGTCAAACTTCAGAAAAATCATGAACTAAGTTGTATGCTTTATGATCTTCCAAGTCTGCTTCCGATGTGCGCTTCCTATATGCATGTCCAAACTAGCTAATCGAGTAAGAAAACCGAGTAAGTAAAAAGCTTTTATTGGCTAACTGAATCAAATATACATCCACAGCTCATTCTTAAGTACAATCCCTTTTAAAAAATCTAGCCAAATCCTGACCAACAATGTTTACACATTTTTCATTTCTTATTTAGCCCATCTCTATCTGATTGGCCCAGCATATTAGTAAGTCATTATTGAACTAGTCGCACACATCTGAATAGCCCTATACTAAGACGAAACAACTGTCCTACGCTCCAAAATTTTCAATCATACATTGAGATCAATCTTTGACAAATATGTTACATTATTATAATACCAATAGAATTTGTTCCAGTTTTATTTGACATAGATCAACTGTCACTGATATCAGTGCTAATTAATAGTATAGGGTTGGGGTGTAATTTTTCTAAAGTCAGTTTATAAAATAAGAAGACGATTGATAGTTTTTCATTTATACTAAAAATAAAAGCATATACAATTTTTCTTTGTTGTCCATCTACCATTATTATTCTTTATTTTTCTGTCATATAAATTACAGATTATTTCATCGTAAACAACATTCTCAAAGTCATGATAATCTTCAATATGGAAAAACTTCAATGGATAGATCAGAACTTTTAAACGATATGGATTTTGATGTACAACTATGGGATGAAGCGAAATCTAAAAAAAAATTATGTACGAATATACCATCCTGGAATTGTACCGGTGAGGATTCTGATACTAATGATACACATGAAAATCGTTTTGATAGAAATCTTGATCTTTGGTGTCGAGTCTTTATTTGCCCACGCCATGGTGTTCAAAGTCTTCACTGGAACTTTAGTAGTGATGATGCTCAACAACATATTTCACGATTGAATACTAGCAGAAAAGACAGTGTTCCTCAGTCTAAGAAACATTTAAAATCGACATTTGATAATCAAAAGCATTCAAAGGTATCAACTCTGCCAGCTCACTTTTTAAATACTACCGCTTTACCTCGACCACTATCCTTGGTACGTTTAACGACAGAAAAATCAAAATATCATTGTAGAAAAAGTTCTGAACACAATATAAAGAACAAAGAATCGAAAGTTACAAATTTAAACTTCGACGAAGACAGTAGTGTTGGTAATAGTGATATTACTTCTTTAATCATAAATGTAACAAGCTCCCACACAGTGAGTTGAAATTTCTTTCTATTATATATATATATATATCCATTTGTTCATCAAAGGACGATACTGCATAGTAATCCGCTCTTTATAACTCTATTTCTGTGGAACGTAGCATTTAAAATAGAGTTTATTCGTAGGTTTCTAGTACTTGATCACCGATGCCTTCGGAACATTGCTCGAATTTGTTGGAACTACAGAATATCCAATGCTAAGGTTAGACAGTATGATAAGCACAGGTGGTCAGTCGATTGGTGAAGTAGCGAATCTTCCTCGACTGAAGTGGTTGGGACATGTTTTACTCATACTAAACTATCACCTAACTTGATGTCCAATCATAGGTGGTGCAGGAGTAGGCTGAGAGCAACCAATTAGTGACCATCAAACCAAGACGTCATCAGTCTATGAAGACTATTGGACTTTGCTGTTTACATAGGTGCAGACTACCTGGTTAAGGTTCGTTTAAAAACTGATCAGTAGTTGGAGACGTTGGCATGGTTTAAAATCAGTCCAGATGCACTCTTTATTTTTCTATTTTGAATTCCAATATTCGTTCATACCTACTTTCTTATTGTCTTTTCAACTTCTTTACTATCCTTTTTATTGATTTAACTTTGTCATACTAATAAAATGTGACAAGTTAGGCTAACACATATTTTTAATCCAGGTTGACTGATTGGACTATTTGCTTTCCCCCACTTCTATTCATATCATCCCTATTTTAAAAGTGTCATTAGTTGCTACAGGGTCTATCTAGGTTAACTAACGCTAAGATCATTTAAATGACATGAGAAAATTATTATTATTATTATTATTATTATTATTATTATTATTATTATTATTATTATTATATTATTTACATTTATCTTTTTAACAGCTTCCTAAAAACAAAATTTCCCATTCATTACTACCATCACATACAACTATCTCTTCAACTATAATCAATCAATTATACAGTTATTCTCCAAATAATAATAATTATTACTATTATGCACCGGTTAGTAATAGATGTCCATCTTTAATATCATTAAATTCCTCACCATGTTCTGAACCATGTTTATCTAAAATTAATTTGATCCATTCATTATCATCATCATTCGGTGTAGATTATAATCATGATTTATCATTAAACAACAACACTTCGAAATCATTAATATCATCTCCATCCTTATCACAAAATATGAAAGGAAGAAATAATAATGATGATAGTATGTTATCAGATGTACAAAAATCATGTCACTCAGAGATGATGACTGGCGGCAGCTCAGTATTATTATCATCATCGCCATCTTCATCACCACCAATGCCATCGATTGGCTTGAAATATCATCCATTGTTCCGTTGTAATAATACTGTTGAGAAATCTTTAGTTGGCTCTTTATCTAACTATTGTGATGTTGAATTTCTAAATGAATTACGCTTGTATTTGTTACGCATGAATTCTCACCATAATGATATTGGTAATAATAATATATCTGGCGTAATTGAATCTTCTCAACAGAGAAAACAAAACGTTAATGATAATGATACTATTGGCGAGAATGTTACATGTATACGTGATATGCACCACGGTAGTAATGATGATTCTGACATATTGCAACTATCATTACATTCTGATAAACAGACACAATCCCTTTCATCATCCGCCTCCTCTTCAGGAGGACTAACAACAACGAAAAGAAGTGATATTACCCGGTCTAAAGCACTTTATGGAAACAGCACAATCGATAGCAATATCAATGAACCTAATTATTCCACAAATCAACTGTCTTGTAACAGTAGTACTAGGCAATCATATCTATCTAAATTGTTTGATCGCTCTATTAGTAGTAATGTTAAATCATTATCTCCATCCATTTTCTCTCCTACAATACGAGCAAATACTTTACCAACTACAAGAATTCTTCGTCAACAGTCAATTAATCATAAAAGTACTTGGAATAATGGTAATAATCATCTTATTGGTGTTAATTCATCAAAAGTGGATACTACTAATCAAGATATTCTTGCTAATAGTAACAGTGTTAGTAGTATCAATCAAAAAGTCAATAATCGCTTACATTTTTCATATCGTTCTGACCATCGAAATTCCACTGTGCAAGATAATCATCATTTTAAAATGAACACTACTATCAGTAATGATAAATTAAATAGCCTATTAACTCGAAAGTTTTCTCATCAACCAGAAATCGACCATTTCTCGCGTATCATAACCACAAATACCTCTAGCAGTAACAATAATAATAAGAGTAATGCAAACAGACAATTCAGAAAGTCCAATGAACAACCTAGTGATAAATCTACACTTTCCAATTGTAATGTTGAACAACAAATGCCTGTTGAATATGTAAGTCCATTGTTTAATCCATTCACTTTTTTATAGAGGGGCAAAACAGTGACGTTTTTGAGTATTTCCACACAAAAAAAGAATCATTTTTATTTCTAATCAGAATTTGGTTAGTCAATAAGTTGTAAACAACTTAAAATCTAGTCTACTTGTGCATCAGTTCAAGTTTCCATATCATATGAAAGAGCATAAGGAGATGAAAATGTCAAAGTAAAAACAATGTCAGTGATAATAGAAAACATTTGGTCAGCATAGACAATATGACTCGAGAAGAAACAGTGAATTTGTGGAATAGGATAGTGTAATGTATTTGTAAAAATCATTATTTAATGGAAAATTAACACTGAATGGATCTACGTTATTACGATGGCTTTTGATACATTAAACTCAATATTTCCAACCCCTGGGTACAATAGTCGTGTAAATGATACTTCCCACCCACCAACTCGGCTTAGTTTAATAGTCAATGATCTAATGGGCTGATATCACTGACAATAGTGTAAGGTTTGAGCAACAGGTAGTCGTGATTTGTTGCATACCAAATTGTGCCGCACATACACTATATGTATTTACTGTTAAAAATTTAATTTCTGACTGATTTCCAATTTGTAAGACTTCGAAGATTTATATATTAATACTTCGAGTATTAACCTGTAGTCACAGCATCCACTCTCATCTATCAATCTAACTAAGTGCTACACATCTCTCCTGAACAGATTGATCCAAAAATTCTGAAACTGGGAACATTCCATATTAGATACGAATTATTTCTTAACGCACTGTCTGGTGATGTATTATGCTCTACATAAGGCCAGTCGCGACTTCAATGACTCAGTAACGTCTCACTCTGTAAAGTTGAGTGATGAGAGTTCCAATCTCATAGCAAACATTGATTTCGTCAATATGAAACTCATGTTCGATATCTACCGACTACCTCGAGCCACTACCTATCTTCAGAAAATGCTGGAGTATGATGTCAAATTATTTGAATTAGTGATGACATTGTAACTTAATCGTTGAAATTCGATTAAGTCTACTGATCTGGCAAACATAAAAAAATTACTAGTCAATCATTGATCCATTTATATCTTGATTGTCTGTCTCTGTTCATTAAACCATATTAAATGTGACGAACCCTTCAGATTTAAGGGCTTCAATTGTTTCTTTCCTCCCTATTACCACTGCCACTATTAATACTTTTATGTTGTGTCTCAACAATTTTATCTCTCTCCCTGTACTAATATTGGTATCCGGCTTCTTGGACTGATCCATATATATGATAGATTTCACTTCATTATGTCTAACCAAATTGTTAATAGATAAATGTAATATTTGAATTTTTACGCGCGAAATTCAATATTCCGGTGTAACTGTCAGAATATATTAAGACATACCAGTACTCAGTGAATTAACACTGACTTCATAATTAAGATTAACGGATATTGTTTAAACAATTCTATCGATACTAATAGTAAGGTTCTTGAACATATATTATTTCATTATTTTATACTCATGTATGTTTGTATGTGTATGTAAAGAAATAACCGACACTAATCAACTAGTGTTGATTAACTGTTTACAATAACTTTGACCTCTAAGTTTAACAATGAATATCGTTATATCGTTAATACAATTCAGCTTTCTCATCAATATTTTGTATCAATTAGTTGTAGACCACATAGAATCTAATACCATATATTCATCAGTTCAACTCATCACACGACAGCACAATGAGATTATCAGTACTAATATAAGTAGTAGCAATATATGGTAGAAAAGATTAAGACTGGAAGAGTGCAAGCGTTCGAGTGTTCATGTTGTAAGCGGAATAGCAAAAAGTTAAGTTCTAGATATAACAATGATCAACATTATTAGGGAAAGTAATCAGTGGTTAATTTAAAAACTTGAGATCTAAGGAAAAACAATGAATGAATAAATTTACATCAATGCAATAGACTCTGTACCGTATCATCTATTATCGCGTGAATTTTAAACACGTAATCTGTCTTCATCAATACAAGTGATTGTTTTAAACCATAGATTCATTTTCTCCAGCTCTGTTTATCTTCCCCATACAAAATATCTTTTCAAAACCATATGATTTAATTCTTTTAAGGAGTTGGAAGAATTTCTTGCACTGAAGTTAATTACTTATACAATATGTATCTTTTTTCTTTACTAGCCTGTTTATAATAATTTGATTGAATTACGAGAAAGTGCCCGTTCTCTGAGTAATGATGGTGTTGGCAGTATGTTGACTTATGGTTTAAAATCGATTCCATCCCTTCAGTCCTCACTTATAACATCAACATCTGGAAGCCTACAATCTGAGTCATCATTATCATCACAATCCCTACATGTAACTACCAATGAAGATAATAGTTATCATCATCATCACCATCCCAATCAATCTACGACAGCCAATTATGTTAATTTACCAATGTTTTGGTCTAACCATCATTCTACTACTGCTACTACTACTACTCCTACACCTTCGTCAATGTTTTCTAGGTCGTCCACATCATGTCAACGACAACATTCTACTGATATGACGACGGTAACTACAACAATAGAGCCTCGATTGTATGCTAATATAATGCCGCTCAATACTACCAGTAAATATCAATCAGCTAGAAATAAACAGCAACACAATAAAACTGACTTAAGTTTATTGTCCAAAAATCATATTCGTTATAGTGGTGTTGGTACTCCTCCCTCTGTGGCTGACTTTACTGGTAATAATAGCAATAGTTCATTAAATGGCGAGTCACAACTGCCATCAGGTGTTATAATTGATCATAATTCAAAAATTACGGATATATCGAAGAAATCTCATTCTCTGGACCCTAATTCAGTAATTAATTTTATCCCTACTACAACATCATCAATAATACCTCAATATTGTTCAGTAGCAGTAGTGGCGAGCGCACGAGCAGCGGCAAATTTACCCACTAACTCTGATTATTCAAACCTACCTGATGAGGTAATATTTTGCTTGATTTTAACATATTTATGTATTTTTGATAAGAGAAAACTTTGTGAAACGTTTCACTGAATTTATGAGCCAATCACTGTTACGTCACCACTGATAACACTGGGCGGTTTTTTCGCCCTAGGACTCTCCAGCGGTGCGTATTAACAACCTTACAACGCTCGACTTGTGAACCTCTGAACTGGCATTTGATGGTGTTATTGTCTAACTTCTTCAATGGGTAACCATTTCACACCCGACACTTGTACTACAGCGGTCACGGTTTCTCACTGGAACTCCGGGAATTTCCTATCGAAGCTAGTCACTAATGAGCACATGATAATTGAAAGTATAGGACTGTGGAGATTGTTGGGCTTCATTGACCGCCTTTAATGTTGTAAAATAAGTAACATAACATCCCTATTTCCACTATTTGATCATAAAATAGGACATTTCATTTTTCAATGGCATATGGTGTAAAATATACTTCAGTATTACGAGTCATTTTATGCAAGGTTATTGTTAACGTCTAGATGAAACGTAAGACGATAACTTTAAATACCCTGACAACAAAGTTAGCTTTATGATGACTGCACGGACTGTTCTTATGGCATATATTTAATTTGTCATTGCCATAAACCCCCGAACGGCCTGCTACGGCCGACAGTGGGGAAAGTTCGCTCTTCCTTTAGAAATGTTGTCACATGACCAAGCGTAAATTGACTCTCCAAAGGAAGTTCTACTTATTGCCTGCTTGCGGCAGGGCTGTTTACGAAATTGAAAGGACTCAAAGAAAATGTCCGCTACTTAAACCGAGTTGGTGGTACGGAGCATCCACCCAGGGGAATCGGAAAGCTTGGATTCTAAATCAAAGGCGCACATGCGCTCCAGGAAATTGAGGGAGCAGATAGCTTGTGAGCCTATTCTTGGTCACTCGCTACCACGGCATTGCATTTTATAACGTTGCTCCATTGCCTCGTGGATTAGACGTGTGCGTCAAGTGTTTGGAGAGTAGCGGGTATACTGAGAAACCACCCGCGTTGGTTTACTTTATAGATATGACCTGCGATTTAACCGTGGTTACTTTGAAAGCATTCCTCGCGTATGTTGAGAATCTCAAGTAAGCGATATTTAGGTTAGAGTAGTTAGTAAAGCCTGATAAACCGAATAATAAGATCTTCCATATTCACCAACTGGGACGGACATTACTCATGCCCCGATTACTACCAACTACCTTGATGATTAGTATTTGGTGCTGTCGAGTTGTACGTTAAATAAAAAGTAGGGGCTTTTTAACCAAAACGTGATATCAGTCCACGAATTCATTTAATGTTAGTCTGAGCGATTTTGATAGATCCAGACTTCCTGGTTGGTACTCACGCGATTTTTTTAAATGACCAATGCTACTATTGTGGCGTATGCTACTTATACTAACATATAAGTAGTATGTAGCACCAACAGAAAGTTCAATGCCTGACCACAGAGGATTGCAATTAAGAGATCAGGGAGGAAATCTGAAAGCAATCGAAATAAAAACAAAATTAGAAGAATAATGGAGTGTGTAGAAGACAACAAAAAGGGGATGTGCAAATGATGTTTTTGATATATGATTTTCGTATCTACTAAGCCACTATATTATTTTGCTTCAAACAATAAATCCTATTTCCCTGCTTAAAATATCGTTCACTACACTATCACTGTTAGTGGCAGTTCGATGTGACAACTCTTTGACAGATACACATTAATTATGGGTTCTGCGTTCTCCGTAGATAACTCATTCTTTTGACCTGCATTATACAAATGTCCGTAGTATTCTCTTTTAAACTTTGCTTTATTTCATGTGTAGTTGAGTCAATCATTCAGTCGCAACTTAGAACTTTATACGCATATACATCAGTTCAAGTTACCATATCTTATTATCCCAGAGAGATGAGATAGTTAGGCTGAATCCCAGCGTAGTAGATGTAATAACAGTATCAGTGGTAATGAAACGGATTAGGCATGGAAATGTAAATTAGTGGGATAAAACAAAAATTTATTATAAATCCAGAAGCTCAGAATTTGGGATATATCTGCGCTATTGTAAATGATTTTTAGTCATGTCATTTAAAGTTTCTAACCATCGGTTGCGATAATCACGTGGACTCCAACCAGATAATCTACACCTATTAGAACGGCTTAGTCGAATTGTCAATGACTTCATTAACTGGTGCCATTTTGTGGTTTGGATACCCCTAGTTTTCTTCAAGCCTACTTCTACACCAAACATCGCCTGTCGAGTTGGGCGGTGGCTGATGAGTATTTGATGTAATCATCGAATTTACTTTGAAATGTCACTGTCTAAACTTAACTGGGATCAGAACACTCCAGATTTGTGTATGTGCTTACATATCATTTTAAAGAAGAAATTCTCTAACCATTAAAAAAATCAGACTTGACTACTAGCATTCTATTCCGTTCATCACCATACTCTTCTACATCCATTTCCCCTCTTTCTTTCTCTATTCACTTCAGGTCCGTGATCCTAGTCGGAATTATGCTATGGTCGATTTAAGACCTAGTCCAGCAAGTTCTACTATTCCACCTACAGAATTAACACTGAACATAATTCAACATCATAATGATCACCGTACTGGTCAATTTACAACCTGTAACAGTAGTAGTACTAGTACTGGCAGTAGTAGTAGTAGTGGTGATTGTGCGAGTGATGCAGCCACTCTAACATCGGATACCATTGAAAGTTACGAAACTATTGGTGCTTCTAATAATAACAATTCATATAATAATAGTAAACTAAACAAATTGAAAGCAAAAAATTCAATTGATACGGACTCATATGGTGGTGGCGGTATTCGTGGTGAAGATAGCAACTTATTGACTGGCTCAATTTCTTCATCACGTCGTAGACACAGTCATAGTTTATCATCAGTGACTACAACAGACCACCCATCAATTCTATTGAATTATATTCATGTTATCGCTGCATCTAATAGTCGTTTTACATCAATAACTACAACTGCCGATGATGCAGTTCAATTATCCGGTCCATGTTCTGTAGGTGATTCTAATCATAATCATAATAATAAGAGTTTAATTTGCGATTTTGGCAATTCACCTAATTCATCAAATAGTAGTAGTAGTGGTCGTGGAGTTACATCATCATCGTCATCATCAACTGGATCTTCTTTAGTACCTGTTTCATCAACTTCATTTGGTGATACTTTTTCATGCCGTTCTATGACATCATCTGGTATTTCTTCAGTAGAAGGTGGTGGTGTAGTTGTTTCAGATATGGTAGAACTATCCAGTTGTTCACCACCTGATGAAAATTGCGTCAACTATACACAAATTGATTTTGCACGTACAATGGCATTAGGCGAATTATCTGGTGATATTATGGCTCAAGAAAATCAAACGTTGCATAAATTACCTTCTACTACAACCGGCATACGTATTGCTAATCGATGGAGTAGTAGTAATTCAAACAAAATTGATCGTACTACGTCTGTTAAAAAAACATTATGTCGTTCTATACGCCTGATTGGTCGTGGGACTCGTAAAAAAGTTGGATAATTTGCGGGTGAGAAGAAAGAAAAGCAAACGAGAACTATGTGTAAATTCAGTTATTCGTAGTTTACATATTGTTCTGTTGTCTGTGGACAGATGGTTCGCTATCTTCTTTTTTTTATAAAGAATTTTTATTAAAATAGTAATATAGTGTTGGATGGATACTATGTGCAATTTGTCGAGGCTCTCTCTCTCTCTCTGTTGTCTGTCTCTGTTACCGGATCCTTCTCATCAACCTTATGCATGAATGAAAATAAGATAGTATGTAATTTTGTGATTGGTTGACTGTCATCTACCTATCCTTTCATCATTTTGTTTACTTATGAAAATTGACTTTTATTTTGTAGTGATTATTTTTGATTGTTCTCTTCCACGTTTAAACAGAAATGTATATCCAAGCTATTATTACCACTACTACTAAATATTATTATTTCAGTAGTGTCAAACTAAATTTTTACGTACTCTGTACCATTGTTAGTTTTTGTCGTGTTCGACTATGTGCTATATATATATATATATATATATATATATATATATATATATATATGCGTATGTGTTTGTCCTCACACATACTGCTTCTTTAAAATAATATTTGTGTATTCCGTTCCTGTTTACCTCATGTTTTTAGTTGTTTAAAATGTCCTCATGTTTATGTAAAACTATTTTCTTAAGACTCTAACACTTACCATAACCATACATTGCTATGCCGATACATACACACGTATACTTGCATTGTTTTACATTTATGTTTTCATTCTTTTATTTCTTTTACTTATGCTTTCTCTTTTAAATTTCCAAGAAAAAACTATTTCTTAATCTTAGTTTTTGACTTACATTTAAATCATATTTATCTATACATGCGCGTGTGTCACCCTAACGGTTTCGATTGCCTGGCTCCTTTTTTCCTCTTTCAATTAACCATTTTATTCACATTATTCTTTATGTGCATGTTTTTTTCTATTTTTATCCATAACACCTACACATATAAACACCATCTCACATACACAGATACAGTGTGTATATTTATCTAAGAAAGAAAGAGATAAAGAATTCTTATGCCCAATATTGTCATTTTCAGCTCTACAATTCAGTTTTGCATAGACACCACACTTGTCTATTGTGCTTTTTTTCCTAATTGGAAACAATTATTACCAAATGGGGCACATACTAGAAATGGCCCGTGAACCCCGCTCGCTATTAGCTGGTATTTGTGTTAAGTGAGTCTTTGCATTGTCATCAGTTTTTTACTCTTCTACAATTACTTTTATTTTTGAAATCAGTTTATTTGTTATTCATGTATGTTACTGCCTTTCGTCCCCCATTGCTTTTCGATGTATATTGAAAGATGACAGTCGAAACAATCTTATTTATTTGTCCACAGAACTGTGACTTATTTCTGTTATATTTTCACTTTTCTCTTGTTTGCCGATGAATTTGTTTATTAATGCCTCCCCTTCAAACATATTCTTATTTTGTGCTAACTCTTCTCCTTCTTGGTTGTTTCTTTATTTATTATTATTATTACTGTGTGTATATCAAAGAGAGAAACCTGTAAACAGAGGAAGATAGATAGAGAGAGTTTAGAGCAGTTTGTACATAAATAATTAGCGTGAAACTATACGATCTCAATTTTGCTTACTTCACTATCGTCTAATTATTCTTCTCTTTTGATAATTGTAAGAGATTGTTCAATTTATTTGTTTGATTTTTTTTGTTCTCTATGTATTTATATTCGCTTAAATTCCTTTGAAACGTCGTCATTGTTTGGTTGTTTTTCTTTTCACATGCCTTGATAAATTTATGTAAATGATTTTCTCAATAGTTTCTTTTGATTGAGTTGGTCTTGGATCCTGTGCTCTTCTTTTTTTTTCCTTTCTCGTATTTTATGTTACTTTTCATCGTACACAAATGTCGAAATCAATTTCTATGATTATTTTTACACATATACAAAATATATGTTTACAACATATTTGTCATTTTTATAATTATTTAACTAGTTTTTATTTGGTGTTTTCTTCTCAACATATAATAACCAACCAACTAGTCTTTGTCCCTGAATTATTTTACTTACTACTTACTTAATATACTACCTACTCATTAGTATCAACTTTTGTTGATGTCATTTGCACATTTTATTGTTGAAACTATTATTTTGTATGTGTGACAACGTTAAGCTAATAATAATAACAACAACAACAACAACACACATGTCTTTGTTTCTGTACAGTTTTCATTCTCTTTTTTTCATATAAAACTTTTTTTTTATGATTTGTTCCCTATTTCTCCTGTTCCTCCTATTCGCGATCATCAACCGGGTTGTTGTTTTTTTTTAATACCCAATTGTTCCACATCACAACATCCTATACACAATGTTAAAACTTTTACAATCCTCGATTTATTGAATTTCCAAGGAAATATGAAAATAAGAAAGAAAACAAAATTTAGGCGCAACATTCTTACCTCTCCCACCCTCTTTCTCTCTCTCTCCCTACAGTTTTATGTGCCGTTTATTTTTAATATTATCGTTTCATTATTGGTTTTGTTTTTAAATAATTATTGTTATGACTTTTATCGTTTATATATATATATATATATATATATATATATATATATATATATATATATATATATATATATATATATATATGGCTGTCACAGAAGTTAAGCAAAGAATCAATAATTAAGCTACCTACCTACCTACCTCTTCGTTCTTTTCTTGCCTTGTTTCTTTCATCATCTTTTATTTATTTATTATCCTCACAATTTTTCCCGCTAAATTCACTATATATTTTGCTGTTTTTCTTTTCTTTTGTTACTATATATTTCATATAGTACTAATGTCAATTCTATTCCCCTCTCATAACCATTAATAATGATGTCTCTTCCTCAGTTTTAGAATACTTTCCTTGTTCTTGTTGTATAATTCGGTTGTTTTTTTTTTTTAAAAAAATTTTATTGTAAACTCTAATATTCTCTTTGTTTATATTTTGGTTCTAATTTTATTGTTGATTCTTACCTTTCGTCAACGTTACAATTTCATGATCTCCTGCTTGTTCACACTTGTTTGTTTGTTTGTTTTTTCTAATTATCATTTGGAACCTGTCACATTATATTTTTTTATATAAATAAATATACTTAATTATGTATAAATATTATTTACATACAAATAAATATAATGTATTCTTCAACTGTGTTTTCCAATCAAAATTTCAACCTATTACGGTTAATCATTAACATTTCATATATGTCCATAGTATGTGTTGAATTGGTTCAGTCTATGATATCCGTTTGTTTGGTTAAATACCATCTTCATAAGGTGGAAAGTTGAAATAGTGTTATAGTAATTCACATAATTGAATTTTAAACATTCCTCTGGTAGTAATGCGAAATCTGTTACTCTTTTGCATCAATTAACAAAATATTTGTAACATTAAATAATGTAAATCATATTGTTAAGTCACTAAAAAGAAACAATACAATTCAGTCAATAATAATGATTAGATTGGAAAAGGTCAGATGTAAAGTAATCATTAGAAGGGGTTCTGTGGAGATTTGAGTAATTTCAATAGTTGAAATCATGAGTTAATTGAAGCTAGACCACCATGGAAAACCTGGAAGCACTGAACGGCTGTTTCGTCCTAGTATGGGACTCCCCAGCGGTGCGCATCCACGATGCCGCATCACGAGATTCGAATCCAGGATTCATGATTTCAACTATTGAAATTACTAAAATCTCCACAAAACCCCTTTCTAATAATAATCATCTGCCCATTAGTGACTGACTTCAAGAGGCATTTCCTGGAGTTCTAGTGAGAAGCCATGACCAGTGGAGTTCAGCCAGATCTGTTGTGAAATATCAACTCACTGAAGACAATGGTGTATGGTGGTGCATTTTCGTGGGTTGGTTGAAGTTAGACATTAACACCGTTGGATGCCGGCTCAGTGGTTTTAGGTTGAAACCTCGCGAGGGGTACAGGATCGTGGATGCGCACTGCTGAGGAGTCCCATAATAGGACGAAACGGCCGTTCAGTGCTTACAGGTTTTCCATTGTAGTCTAACTTCAATTGACTCATGATTTCAACTATTGTAAAGTAATCAGTTAATGTCAAGTGTTGCTGACGTATCTTAACCTTGGATGATAACTGCATATTCCAAGTTTAATGTGTTTGATCGGCTTAATAGAGAAAAAACAATTCATGAACTTTAATTAACTATATAAACGAATAATACCATTTTTAATTAGATCCTCATCAGGCTTTAATTTACATTAATACTTAAATGCACATATGAAAAAAAAACCGATCAAAGGAGTTTATAAGTCAGTGATAACCGTGGGATTGATGATATAAATCGGTAAAAAGTATAAATTGATAGTTTAATAACAGGTGTACTAGTTGTGATAAGAATAATAAAGACTTGAATTAATGTTTTACTTTGAAAGTATAAAAAATATGAAAGCCAAGTATTATTTTAAAAATAAATTACATACGTCATTAGGGTTGAAATTTAATACAATAACTTGTTAACTAAAAGTTACTTTGACTAGATCAGATCACTTCATCAATTCGTCGATAGTTTCACTCCCATTCACTAACACAATAGTCGGCTACGTCCCAATATTTCTATCTTCTTCACTCTCGTGGATGCAGTACACACGGTCTCTTAACATGATCACTGTCAATATGATCTTTACTTTCTAATGTATAATAACATCCACGATCAGTTAACAAAATATCTTAGTTGTGTATACCTATTGATATATTACAACATTTTGGTATTTCAACTGTAATATCACGTAAGTTGTGAATCTGAACAATAAAAAGTATTTGTGATCTCTCTCATCATTCTAATTGTAGTGGAGATTTTAACGGAAAATTTGGAATTCGCTAAATGTATTGATCGTGTGGAGACAAATTATTAGAAAAACAGTACAGAAAAATTCATGGAAGCCTTCAACACTTTTTCTCGGATGCACCACAACCAGTTGTTACTTAAATCAGCCCTATAGTCTAATATCTTCGTACCAAACGTTTTGTATGAATCAGTGAATACTTCATTTCATTAATAATAACTATTGGAATAGGCAAACAAAACATTGATCTAAACCCCATAGTATTTATCAACGTATATAACTTAATAAGTGTATTGAACAAGATTCCTGTCTTTTGTGATACTTCCTGGCGAAATAATATCTGATTGTTGAATCATCATGTAGTGTGTAGCCATCATATCTATTTCAAGTGAAATTTTAAAATGACGGAGAAAAACATCGCACAGATGGTCGCTTCTGTGTAGTGTCCCGTTTTTTTATGAGTTGGATAATTTAATTGATGAGCTTTCTCTTTATTTTTCTGGACAATAGTAAAAGTAGAAATAAGTTATCAGTCACGATTGATCACTGGGTGGTGATCAATGTCATGCTTGTCTAGTCCTTATTAGCAATGTAGAACGTGCATCAGTTCAAGTCAATACACGGTATCAGCACAGTAAAATAAGATTATT